GCTTGAATTGGCAGGTTGAATCCTCAGAGGTCCCCTACCACTACTTCCAAGGTTCTATCTATAACCCTCAGAGACTGTGCTTCTCCTACTGTAAGTTCTGAACTCCAAATGTGGTAGTCCCCATTGATAGTCATCCAGTAGCCTCAATTAGATGAAAAGCATGTGGGAGAAAAATAAAGACCACAATTATTTCACAACACCTTGATGGTTTAACAATATAGAAACCCCTCAACCACCTGGTGGCTTAATAATAGAAAATGCCCAACTGCTATTGAAGGAGAAAAAATACATGTATAAACTATGCAAGGATATGGAAAAGCAGATAGTTTCATCTGCTGTCATGACAACTATTTGTTGTCCTTGTTTTAAAACAATCCTGCAGTTTTATCTAAATTAATTTTTTTAGCAATTGTAAAAGTATTTGGTTACTTCCTTTTGTCTCCTGCCCTTGAATAGTTTCTTATTCCAAAAACAAGCCCTGACAACTTCATGGAAAATATTTCCCCAGGATCCACCCCATCTTTATCCCTTGGCCGATTCCTTCTTTCTCTATTCCTCCTTATACTGTGAAATGCTTTACTTATTGATCTTAAATCACCACAGAATGCTTCTGATTGGTTGTATACCGTAAGTGGATCTGAAAAGTTATCAAAACGAAATCTGTACCCTATGAAGTTGAAGCTGCTATGAGTGAGCAGTCTTCCTTAGCATGCTAATAAATTCCTTTGTTTTCAGTTTGGCCTTCCATCTTTGACCCACAGTCATCAGATCTCCATTGACTGGTACCTCTCTGAAGATGTACCATTCATCTCAGTCAGGAGCAATTCCTCAGCAGGCGTTAACTTGAAATGATGAAGTGTTCCCTCCACCCCCACCCCAAACACCACGTTCTGGTTAATGTGTATTTGAAAAAGTCATCTGGGTTTTCAATAACTTTCTTTATTCTAACAACGGCTTCCCTAAAGTCAGTAACTGGAGCTGTCTCAGGTTTTTCAGATCACACTCCTACAGTCCTGCAGTACATTCCACAATAAATACAACAGGGGAAAAGGAAAATAAATGGGGTTCCTCTATGAGATTTTATGAGGCAGATACTCCAGAGAGATATGTCTGGTTTTTAAAAAAAGGTCATGTGCTCAGCCTTAGCAAAGAGTGATTCTTCAGGATGTAGTAAAGCCTGCACGCTGCTAAAGTATTCCATCCATCCTATGCGAGGCAGGAAGTGGCAACCCGACATCAATAGCTACTGCACATGTGGGAATACTTCATTGAAAGAGAGACTGGAAGGAAGAATAAATGCGACAGTGCTAAGTCTGTTCCCAACATTATAAGGAATGTAGATGTTTCAGAGAGGAAAAAAAAATACGAGAAGGCCTTATGCCCTGAATAGGCCCTCAGGCCATCCTAGAATCCCACGAAGTTCACAGTGTCTCATGCAGTAATCTCCACAGCTGTTAGTTCCAAATGTAGTTGACAGAATGACTGTCCTTCCTCACTGGAGCTGCCCTATTGGTCTCTACCTAATGCAACCTCCCTAAGAGCCCAGATTTGCCTAGAGGTGAAGATACAGGTACTTCCTTTCTTTTTTGCCTGTGGGGGGCAGAGTGTGGGAAGGGAACAGCTGTTCTTTATATATGTTAAATAGTTGTACTGCTAAGCACTATAGGGAAATACAGAGAAAGTTGTAAAAAAAAGAAGAAGAAAACAAATCACAAGAGAAGTTTTCACGATTTTTACAAGTCTTGAGACTTAATCAAGGTCCAACATGTAAACAGACATGGAGCTAGGCCATGGTCTTTATCAGTTACTTCTAACCATTACCCAGTCGTGTCCTAAAAGTCAGCTGGCTGCAATATTGCAGGATTGGATGGTAAAGATTAAGCTCTTGATTTCTCATTAATTTATCATTCTTTTTGACATCTCAGTCCTCCAAGAATTTTTTCACCCAACCTGTAACCCAGAATGTGAAAGTAAATAGCAGTTGTTTTCTATTCTGGCCAAAAGCTCTGAGGGTCTTCCCCTCCCAGACTGATTCTTTTGTGATGACAAACTAGGCCATCTATTGTTTCAATTCTTGCCTAGCCCTTCAGTACTGAATGGGAGTTGCCGAAGACAAAGTGAGACCCGGGAAAGACTTTCATTTTAAAAGGCCAAGGTCCCCCACTGCATCCTGGGCTATGGCCAGTCATCTTGATTTTTGTCTTGCAACACTGGACTCTGATGACTCTGGAGGAGAGAATGAGGTTGATGACTTTATATGGCTCTGGCTCACTTAAATCCAATCCACTTCCAAGTCAAGGCATCACTCTCATGATTGGTGCTCTTTCAGAAGAAGGACCACCAACAACAATAGCAACTAGGCCTGTGGCAAACACCCTAAGCCCACCCCCTTCTGTCCCCCACGCGTATACACAAAAGTCCTTTTTCAGGGTCTCAGGATTTCAAAAAGCTTACTACTACTTCCTTTACCCTGGATTCATTCATTTATTCGTACCACACTTATTAAGTGCCTACTATGTACAAAGCACTGTTCTATATAATACCAGTAACATAAAGTTTAGATGAGGCATGATTCCTTCCCTCATGGAGTTCATGATCTAGGACAGTGCTTACTAAACTGTGGGTCATGACCCCTATGGGCTCGTGAAAATGTGGCATCTGTAAAAGGTTTCTGGATGGACAATGACCAAAAATTGATTAAAAATCAAACACAAAATGAATCTGAGGTATTTCTGGCAGCACTTGCCAGTGTTGCATCATACAACTTCACTGCAGCCTTGGTTCTGAACACAAAGTATGTACACTTTGTACTGTGCATGCCCTCAGGCCATGCAAAACCAGCAAATGCTGAACCATGAAAAGGGGTCACAAGTGGAAAAAGTTTATGAAGCCATGATCTAGGAAACCACAGAACTGCAGAATTTCTGCCCTTATCTTCTTGGTCCTCCAAACAAAAAAGACACATACCTAGGTGACCATAAAATCCCTTCCCATGGCTTCAGACTTTTGAGACTGACTTTCAACAGTCACCTTATTCATCTTAAGGGACATGTCAACAGCCATGGTCTCTGGAAACTCACTCTTGCCTTGAATCTGTCTTCTCTGTCCTGTTTGTTTGAAAGAAATTCTCTAGCTAGATGGAATATGCTAATTCTGCCCTTAGAGTAAAGTTGGCTTCTCTAAACTATAATCCTAGGCTGACTCCTGGGATCCTTCTGGGAAACTATGTGGCCAATGGGACCATATGACCTCAACCATTGTGATAATCCTTTCTTGGATAAGGGGTCTCCCATTCTCCTTCTCAACTTGGTACAGTAAAAATAAATAATCTTTTAAAAAAGCGTTGATTTGGAGTGAGATGTAGAGTTGGATTCTGGCTCTACTAGTTACTACCTGTGTCATCTTGATTGAGTCATTTTAATCCTCCAGCCCTCAGTTTCCCCATCTTTCAATATGTGTCATTGAGCAGAGTAATGTATAAGAAGATAGGAAAGATAAGAATGGGCCAGGTTGTGAAGAGCTTTATGTGTCAAATAGAGGAGTTAATATTTGATCTTAGAGATAATAGAGAGTTCATTAAGTAGAGAGATAACATGGCCAACACTACACTTCAGGAAAATTACTTTGGCATCTATGGGGAGGACTCGAAGCAGAAAAACCAACAAGAAGCTGTTGTAATAGTCCAAATAAGAGGTAATCAGGGCTTGAACTAAGGTAGTGTCTGTATGAATGGAGAAAATGAAAAAGAGAGATGATGGGAAGGCAATGTATTCACACTCTTCATTTAGCTTTTGTTCCTGGTCATCTTCATTTGAATACCAGAGAAAATCTCGAGAGTCATATTGGCTTTGTAGACCTAGCTATCACACAGCTCCAGTAGGTGGAAATGGGATCCCATAAGAGGTTAAATTGAAGTCATAAGGAATGCCACCTTAGGTCAGATAGTTGTCTGGTTCCACAGATTTTGCTCTGTCATTGTTGTTGAATTCTTTCTTTAAAAAAAAATCTGGACTTAAGTAACACCAAATAAGACAAGCATTTCCAGCATTTCCAGCAACAAAGTAGATCAGAAAAAGAGGACTATAAGTGAAGCTATGAATCTGTATTATGAAGAGCTGACTTTTTTTTATTAGGTATATAATAAATTCAATATGTTATTTCAAAGCCAACCTGCTTGTATTTTTGGCCAAACTGCAATTTGTTCTCTTCTATGCATTTTTAAATGCTTCAGCGACTCTCTTTTGGATTACCCCACCACAAGTCATGTCAACAAACATTTATGAAGCATTTACTCTGTTCCAGTACTGTTTTAAGCATTAGAAATACAAATAAAGGCAAAAAGAAGAAGGGGTGCTTCCCACAAGGAGCTTATATTCTAATGGGGGAAGATACATAAAAGAGAGCTAAAAGGCTGAAAACTGGAAAGAAGAGAAGGTGCACCCATGGGCATGGTGGAGAAAGTCTAGAGAGTCAGGAGCAAAGTCCAGACAGCAATGAAGAATTAGAAATGCATGGTGTGGCCACTTTCCTTAAAAATGAAGTTTCTGGGAGGAACCAATTAGTCAGAGGAAGGGGCTGCAGATTAAGTGATCTTCCAGGGTCAGAAGGCTGCTGGGGTTTAGTAGAGAAAGTCCAGAAAGTCAGGAGTGGAGCCTGGAGAGGAATGAAAGAGAGACCATGGTTGGTCTGAGCACTTTAAAATCACTAGCAATGTCTAAAACCTATGTCTCATTATTCACTTTTAGTTCATCATATGTTTATTAGGAGGTAGGTATCATGTTTCATCACTTGTCCTCTGGAATAATTTTTGATAGGATCTCAGGTTTCAACACTAAATTGGCACTAAACATAGCCAGTCAGAAGACTTAATCTTAACCTGGGAGAACTTTGTTAATTCTCACCCCACCCCCACCCCCATCTGCTGCCTCATCTTTATTTGCCTCGTAAGTAATGGAGGTTGGGAGTAGTACAAGGTTCATCAGCTTCAGTTCAGGACATAAGCCAAACTCTGTAGGAACTACTCTTGACCAGAACAAACTATGTAAATCGAGGGCTTGCACAAAAGTTACCCATGCCACAGTGAAGATGAAGGTAAGCGTGCATTGATTGACCAAGAGAGAGTCCAGAGACCATCCTGGTAGGTCCATGTGAGCTGCCCTTCGACCTGACCAATGGTGGTCTCTCTCCCAGTGGCAGATTACCCAGGACCTACCCAGCCGTGGTCTCGGTCTCTGTCTCCCATGTTCTCCCATTTTCTGAAACTTGTCCAGATACTAGACTTGCTAGTTATAGCTCTGGTTGGGAATTTTTTACTTTTTTTGGTGTATGTAGCTAATTTCTGATGCCATGCTTAATTACCAATATCTTAATTTTTTGACAAAATGGCATGGGAAAAAAAAGGTCATTGAACCTTCAGCTTTATTAGGAACAATGATCCTAAACAAATCAAGGAAAAACTATTTGAAGTTGTTATATGCAGAATGTTTGATATTGAGGAGTCCAGTACAGGGAGGATTGTCTTTTAATGTGTATATAACAAAAATTAAAAGGCACATCATGTCAGGAGAGACTGTCAATATTAATGTGTTGATGTTCATTATAAATACTTTCTTAGCATCAAACTAACAAAGTGAACAGAGAAAAACTAGCTGCCTCTATAGTAATTTTGTTTTTGTTTTTTTTTTAAGTGATGGAGAATTTCTAGGGAACAGAGCAGATAGTTTATCACCCAAATGGCTCAAAGACCTAAAAAGTTCAAGAATTTCCCTTTTCAGTAAAAATGCTGAAAGAGCTTTTTTCCCTCTTCTTTTCCATATAATAAAGCAGTCTCCAGAATCAATGAAATCCTCAATAACTCCCTGAAATGATCAATACCAGTGGGGAATAATATTTAGTTTGACTAGAGAGAAGTCTCAATTTAGATTTTTTTTTTATAAAGTCATCAGTTCACTGAATCTGGACATTAAGTGCCCAGGAACTGATTTTCAAGATGTCAAAGAAATGAAGAGTTCTCTCCAGAGTGGGTAGAAAGAAGCCTAAGCTATTGAGAATGGATGATGGTTGCATTCCAGTCTGTTCACCTGTCAAGACTGCCCACACAGAAGGAACAGATACACACATCTCCTGAGTGTGTCATAGCCTTCAGCCCTTCCAATCCCTGACACATCAGTTTCCATCACAGCAGACTGAGTGGATGAGAAGCCTCAGAACCAATCACAGAAGCTCACTGATTTCCTCATTCCTTTTCATTCCTCAGCCAGGGGCAATGCTTCAGTATGGAGAAGGACAAATGGGAAAAGGAGAGCTATAAGCCAGATGCTCCTATATGCAAGTCCCATTATTTCTTGTTTATGGAAAATTTTGCTGCAGATGCATATTAAACACTAGCACATGAGGGAGAAAATGGAAAGACAGGAGTAAGGAGTACTAGTAAGGGTGGCTTTTAGGTTATTGACTTCAGGAAGATTATAAATGCTTCAAGGAAGTTGTTAGCATAATGAAGGAGGGAGAGCAACAGCTGTCTCCAATAACTGGAACAAGACCAGCCTCTCTCTGACCCTAAAGCTGCCTACAGGCAATAGATAAAACCAGGGAGATCCAGACCTTCTGGACTGATGTTCCTAAATTCGCCCTAATACTTTATGCTCTACAGCTTAGTTTGTTGAAAAGAATGAAGGCAAGAGAGCCAAATAACATCGCTGTAAGAGTTCCTTAAGCTGGAAGGAATCTTGCAGATTATTTAGTCCCAACTCTTCATTTTATAAATCAGTAAAGTGAAGTGAAATTATTTTTCCAGGGTTACAAAAGGAAAACATGGCAGAACTGAGATTCAAAGAGATGGCATCAGGTTTTCAAACTCCAAATCCAGAGCTTTTTAATAAGCATAATGGCAAAAAATATATATAGGGAACTAAGCCAAATATCTAAAAATTAGAGCCATTCCCCGATTGATAAATGGTCAAAGGACAGAAACAGGCAGTTTTCAGAAAAAGAAATCAAAGCTATCAATACTCACATTAAAAAATGTTCTAAATCACTATTGATTAGAGAAATGCAAATTAAAACAACTCTGAGGTACTGCCTCACACCTATCAGATCGGTTAATATAACAGAAAAGGAAAATGACAGATGCTGGAAGGAATGTGGAAAATAGGTACACTGACATACTGTTTGATGGAATTGTGAATGATTTTGACTATTCTGGAGAACAAATTGAAACTATGCCCAAAGAACTAAAAAAACTACATATATATACCCTTTAACCCAGCAATACTACTGCTAGGTCTGTATCCCAAAGAGTTAAAAAAAAAGGGGGGGGCGGGGAGAAGGGACCTAGAAGCACAAAAATATTTATAGCAGATTTTTTTGTGGTGGCATAGAATTGGAAATTGAGAGGATGCCCATCAATAGGGGAATGGCTAAACAAGTCGTGATGTATGATTATGATGGAATGTTACTGTGCTATAAGAAATGATATGCAGGATAGTTTCAGAAAAATCTGGAAAAACCTATATAAATTGATGAAGAGTAAAATGAGCAGAACCAAGAGAGTACTGTACATAGTAATCACAATATTGTAACTGTGAAAGAGTTACTCTGATGAATACAATGATCCACAGTTCCAAAGGGCTTATGATAAAAATGCTAATCACCTTCAAAGAGAGAACTAATGAACTCTAAGTGCAGATTGAAGCATATTTTTAACTTTTTTTTGCAACACAGTTAAAACAGAAATATATTTTATATGACTTCACATATATAATAGATTCATATTGCTTGCCTTCTCAATGGATGGAGGAGGGGCTGAAGGGAGGGAAAGAATTTGGAACACAAAATAAAAAATCAATGTTAAAAGTAATCATAATTGCTCATCTTTATATGGAACTTTAAAGTTTACAAAGTACTTTCCTTTCAGAAGAACTCAGTCACTCTCAGAAACCACTAATTGGGCAGGGATGGGGAGGGCTTTGGGGTGGTGGTAATATTCTTTCATCATACTACCTTATCGCAAATTCATTCTATTCTAGCTCTGTAATCTGTTTATCTTTGTGACTTTCCCTGTGTGTTGGTGTTTGTGTTATTCCTTGTTGTGTGGGTCTTCAAGAAAGTCTCGTGCATTAGGTTATGCTACAACTTGCCTGAGGTCTTACACACAGAATACACCAAAGGGCCAGGTGACTGTGACTTTGCACCATGAGATTAGAATGGCAGCTGCTTTCTCCATCCCTTCAGCTCCTTCCCTATTCTCTCAGGTATGCCTATGTCAGAGGTTGTGGAACCCTGACAAAAGTGAGCAAGAGATTAGAAAGGATATATTTGGTCTCCCAATTTAGCACCATCAAAACATACAAGTATTTGGTCAATCAATTTCTTAATTCAGTAATATTCATTAAAGACAATGATGTTTCAGCCAGTTATGTTTTAGTTAGTTCTCATTCTATGATCATGGACATGCCACAGTAGCTTTATCTCAGCTTCTTCATCTTTAAAATAGGAATTATAATTCCAAGATTAATGTGAGAATTAAATGAAAATTAACTTTGGGCTATGAATGAACTTGAAAATATTCCTCCAAATTAAATCAGTCATAGTTTCAGTTATAATGGCACTGAAAAACTGAGCATGTATCTTAGAATTTAGAGATGGAAGGGACCTTAGAGCTATTCTAGCCTCAACATGAAGTACAACTCCAATAATTCGGACAAGTCACCTAGCCTTTGTTTAAAGACCTCCAATGATGGGAAATCTACAGTCTCTGGAGGCAGCTCATTCTGTTGTTGGAGTAGTTCTAATTGTTAGGAAGTTCTTCAACACAATTCAACATGTATTAAATACCTGCCATACATGAGGTTTGATACTAGATGCTGGGGACCCTGAGATAAAAAGGATACAGCCCTTGCCTTCAAGGGACTTACAGATGGGTTCATTCTTATCTTGTAAATTAACCAGTACCTAGTGTGTATCAGACACTTTGCTAGGCACAGTGGATACAAAAGCAGAAGTGAAATAATCCCTCCCTTCAAAGGGACCAAATGAATGGAGCTGAAATAGGCCTTCCTCTAGCAAACTAAACACTGGTCCTACTTCTACCCTTCAGGAGCCAAACAAAGCAAATCAATCACACTTCAAATATTTAAAGACCACTGCCTTCTTCCTCTCCCCAATCCTTCCCTTCTCCAGATTAAAAATCCCCAATCTGATGGCCAACACCCATATGGCAGTTTTTCATTCCTTCTCTCTCTGAACTGTTTCCTGTGGAAATACTCCAGTCTACCCATGTCCAAATGGGGCACCCAGGCCTAGACACAATGCTTTAGAAGTGGTCAACTCTAAGACACAGTACAGTGGGACTAGCATCTCCTTTGTTCTAAAAATCAGAGCGAAGACCTAATTAGACAAGGTAATTACCAAGACAAAAGAAAAGCTGTATCATTTGGGAAAGCATCACTACTTCAGCTAAATAATCACTGGTCCTGCTGCCTGGCACACTGAGATTTTTATCCTGAGGCTCCATAAATTAAATCTCCTGAAAAATGTTCCTTACCCTTCTTCCAAGGGAAAAGGCTAGGTTATTGAGGTAGTAATTAGAGTCCATTTTTGATAGAACTGAAATTAGAAACACAAGCCAGTCCTCCAACTGGCATTTTGGAATTGAATAACTTTTAAACCAAGGAAGGAGGGGCCAGGAAGAGAATTCATCAAAGGGGGAGAAATAGAAAGAAAATTCATCCAGTCTCCAGATTGACAGAGTGCAGAAAGTACAGCTAATGTGGAAGTCAAGGGAAATCACTAACCTGACAGGCCATGAGTCAGGAAAACTCCAAAAAGAGTTCAACAAGTTCAAGAAATGGAACAAATGTTACAAAATGGTTCAATATAGATATTGGTATGAGCATTGATATGGATATAGTTAAATTTGGTTGGTTTTGGTGTTGTTCAATCATTTTAGTCATGTCCAACTCTTTATGACCCCACCTTGGGGTTTTCTTGGCAACAATACTGGAATGGTTTGCCGTTTTCTTCTCTAGTTCATTTTACAAATGAAGGAACTGAGGCAAACAGGGTTAAGTGACTTGCCCAGGGTCACACAT